CGTAAAACTGGACACAACATCTGACGCGGATCCGGACGATCGAGTTTGATCATCCTCGTGAGCTATCGTTTAATCAGAGGTAATTGGCGGGAGGAGAGGATGCGAAATTACTTAGGCGATAATTCAAAGGGGGCTGGCCCCCGATTTCCGTCATCGATTAACTTATCGTTCGATTGGACACACGATCGAACGAAGGGAAGGAACCTGCTTGGTCGCGCGATTCTTTTCATCAGAGTTTCTCACTCGTCCCTCTCTTACTACTCGTTGTTCAGTTCCTGTTATAATACCACGTCTCTGTTCTAGTTGCTTTATCTTAAACGAGGAATGGAACGAGAGGATGGTAATTTGAGGCCATTAACGAAACACGCGTGCTCGAGGGACACGTTCGAGTCGAAATCTCCCATAAGATTTCCATAACGAGTGGACGGACGGACGCGAAGGAAAAAAGAGGAGGGCTTCGTTCAGCGAAGTCGATGATCGCTTTGAGAGGATCGTAGATTTAATAATTTTCACAAGCGGTGGAGAAGAGAGACGATCGATTTTTGTAGAAGAAGAAAATCGGTTTGGTCGATCCATCGAGTTTCATAGATGGACAGATGGAGGAAGAAAAGAAAAAGTGAAGAAACGTGTCTTTGTTCATCATTCTTCGTTTTACTTAATGAAAGATGAAGAGAATATCGTTAGTTGGCGTCAATGCTTCTTCAAAAATACTTTGAGGACTATAGTAGATGTTCAACAACGAACAACAATATAATTTCTAAAATGATTTCAGAAAATCTACAGAGTTCTAAAAAAACGAATACGTATTTGATTAGAAATACTTTTCAAACGATAATCGCAAAGATACAATACACAAAATAGCCGATTAGGTATCCTCTTCTCTTGCAATCAATAACTCAGAGATAATTCTTGATTTCCTTTTGGAGCGAGTTTAGAAAATGAATATCTAAAAAACAAATACTTTTCAAACGATAATCGCATAGATACAATACACAAAATGGCCGACTAAGTATCCTCTTCTTG